GTAAAGTACATAGAGATGTATGTGTATTAGAGTGCCAATCGAAAGTCGTTTTTTTGTACGTTAGTACTACATACTTTCAAATTATGGAAGTTATCGATGGTCAAAATTTAAAAAATTCTTTGAAATTCAAGCAAAAATAGTCATTCAAAAACTCATGAATCTAGAAAGTCGTATTTTCTGACCTAAATCGACAGGCCGTGACCTGTAAATGGCCTTTAAAAAATCTATCAAAATAGGCAATAATATTTCTCATAAAAACGAATAAAATTGGGGGTAGGGTCTTTAAATTGTCAAAAAAAGCATTTTCGATAGGAAACCTAATGTATATACTATATAGACTTTCTTCTGTTCGCCCATCCATCATCAGCAGTCACTCAACATTTGAATTCAATGAATGAATTAAATAGAATTATAATCTGATAACATGATAAGATTAGAAGCCTCATGGCTCTTTGGAATCTACCTTATGGGCAGTAGCGCCGGCGTCGCCGCCGCCGCCGATTCTTTTTAAAGTTGACCACGCCGCCGTCGCAAAGCCTGTCGGCGTAAACCTCTAATACATACATACACATGCATGCATAAGCAAGCGTTATTTTAGCATGCTTTGGTAAGAACAACCATCAGCATGGCAATGCCCAAACTAGTTGGCGAAAACAGCATTTACAAAAAATATAAATCCTCTTGCACACCTGTAGGCAAAGCATCTTCTTTTGACCCCACGTTTTTTAAAGCCGGGTAAACGGTGTAGTCATTATAACTTTATGACAGAAGGCAAGCCTATGTAGCGCCAGCTGCTTGCCAGATACTTTGATGTTAAATTGTGTGCGTGTGTGCGTGCGAACTCGATCAAACCTACATGTCTGTAAGCCGATCAAACCTTTATGTAAAACACATGCATGATGCCCAAAAGAAAGTAACTACGTTAGAGTGAGAAAGTTCGCTAGACTTATGGTTCGGTGAAGCAGTCTTGAGCGTGTGTGTGTATGTGTGAATGTTCGACTTAAACCGTATTTTGTATGTATTCCTTTGTACATAAATAAGTAAATATATACATAACTAATACGGAATCGGTCACTTGACGTAGAAAGATATAAAAGGACCAAAACTGAGACAAGCGGTTCTTAAAACGAAAGTTGCGGTGGTACTTTACAGTGAAAGTGAAGTGTAATTTTAAAGTGGTTGCTTGTGGTATAAGTAATAAAGTTTAAAGTTTTAAAGTTAAAGTGAGTGAATACGGTCCCCCAGTGCTCTACCAGGATACTAGCGGTACCTGGGGTCATCAAAGTCACATTCTGGATCTGGAGGTAAGTGCGAACACTTTCATTTGACACCTTTGATACGCATATGTCCAAGTACCTAGATGTGTGAGACTCAAATGTAGCAAAAGTGTACGCGAGATTAAAATCTTAAATATATCAAAGAGGGCTAAATGGAAGTTTTTATTGATTTCAGGTCGCCTGCTAACACAGCGAAAGGACCTCCATTGTTTTACAACAACACGGTAGTTTAAACCCGAAAAATCAGCCCAAGCATTCAGGAAGAAAACTTTGGAGTTGCAGCCAAGTAAAAATACATACATACGCCCATATATGCGTAAACGCTACCACCCACGGACCACAACCACCCGCACCGGCAAATAAAGCATACCAACAAGGGCCGGGCATCAGCGCAAGTGTACAAACGCACTCAGGCATATACATATGTGCATACGTTCATGCAAGATACGAAACCACCTTAACTGTCACCCGGCGACTCGACAAGGTGGCCCATATCTAAGCCCTACAGCAGTGCCGATAACCCGGCTAATAATTAGAGCCAGCAGCAACAACATCACCAGGAACAGCTGATTGAAATATCTCGGCCGGAGTAGGTCAACGGCCATTCGACATACATGTGGATTCCATCAAACAGTGGAGAGGAGCATAACAGTGGAGAGGACCATAACATCGACGGCAGCAGTGTGCGAGAGAGCAGTGGAGACTATCGCTCCACATATACCGTCGATCAACAGCAGCGCCGGGAGCATAGTTCCAGTTCTACTTGGATTTTACATTCTATTTTGGTTAAATTTTTATGCCTATGTACATACATGTCAGGGTACATACATATATGTAGAGCTGATTTTCGCTAGGCACATTCCTTTAGTTCTACTTACCGTTTTGTTGTTTTCATATTTAATTTTATCACGTAAAATTGCCAGTAGTAGGGTGGTCGCATTTTTGTCGTTAGCATCTTGCTTTAGACAGATTTTTTTTATTTAGTTATTTTTTTAATTTTTTTTTATTTTTTTTTTGAATTGTTGCAAGTAAGTACTTTTTTTATTTAGTTATTTGCTTTTTTGAATTTTTGTAAGTAAAAATCGATTTTGCCGTACGTATTTTTCCCAAAGCCTCTAGTGTTTGCCAATCATTAACTTCACCTTGTTATTGTAAATTTTTTTTGGTTGGGATCAACACGTTTTTTTTTCTTTTCTTTCGTTCGGCTCCATACGTATTTTCACTTTATTTTAGCTATTCTTCACGTATATGAGCATATGTACATCCATATACATATATGTATGTATACATATGTTTATATATATGTAGATAGATGTAACCTAAAATTTCGCGTTAAGGCCCGAATTTGAATTAATCGCGACGTTAAATTAATCGTGCCTTTAATTTACGTACTGGTAGCTTAAATGTTTAACTAATAATTTCATTCACCCTTGTATTATTTTGATATTTTGAGTTTCCCGCACGCTTGTCATGACCCGCTCGTAGAAGACTGCTAGGTCGACGCCGCAGCAACGCGGCTGAAGGAGAGCATATGCATGAAATATCTTAGATTATATGTATGTATGTTAGGGTTCTAATTCTCCCAAACAGGTTCTCAACAGAGTGCTGGCGCCATCATTTCTGGAGACCAAGGTGAGTGTGAAATTTGCCTACATTATTATTTACATATATATATATATATATACATATATTTACATACGCACATGCACATTAAGTGTACATACGTATGTAATTGCAGATATACATGCATCCATTGGGTTATCACCGTAGGTTAGTTTTGTAAATTTTTGAAGTTCATTGAATATTGTTAGGGTAATTGAATTTTTGAGATTTAATTAAGGAACTCTTCAGATTGCGCGGTAATCAAGGTGTGGTAGACCGCTTAGAGGTATAAAAATAGAATTTAGCTAGCATTAGGGTACGTGGATTTAAACTTGAATTTTTATGTTAGGAGTAGATAGAGATTGAGATTAGAGTTAAGTATTACGTGTAGGTATAGGTAAATATTGGATTTTAGAGTTAAATATTGAATTTTAGAGTTTGAGTTGTAGAGTTAAAAATTGGATTGTGAATTTGAGTTTTAGAGTTAAGTGTTGGATTTTCTTTGGTTGTAATTAGGGTTAAAGTTTGATGTAATAATAAAGTGAGGAAAAAAGGAAGGAAATGATTTGAGGTTGATTTTGTTTAAGTGTGGGGTTTTCATAATGAAGTGCTAAGCACGAAATTTTTGGTGTGGGTGTTGCGCTTGTGCAGAAGAGGGGAAGTGGGAGTGTACAAACGTTGACAATGACGGTATAATGACGGACTTATAGATAAACGGACTGATGTCAGGTTAGGGGGCGTTGTAAAGTAGGTGAGGAGTCACGACAACGCCCAAGGCTTCGCGTGAAGTTCGCGTAGAAGAAGGGTGGGATGACTCCACCTGACAGGACAGGACAGGACCTTCTCTTCATTTGTTGCTATCTCTTTGTTCTCTGCTTTCTTCGCATTTGCTATAGCCATCTCCACTAGTACACTAGGTATCAGGCATGAATAACTTTTTGCTAATGTAGTTGACAGCAAGGCAGGCGGAAATGACCCACCCCGACGACGAGCTAGCTTGGGATGCAAGCATGCCTGCATGCCGCCTCGCCTGGCTCGACCATGTTGCTACATTACAATGGCGCCCAACGTAATAGCCCACTAATTTTTTACATTTCCCACTATTTCTAATACTAACGCCTTTTCCTTTTTCAGTTCATTTTAGTTTTCTTTTTGCATAAATACTTCTATCTTAGTTTCCTTTCTATCGGACGTGTTAGGGTCAAGGGGGTATCATTGTTTTCGGTCACCGTAGGCGATTTGTGCCCAATTGGCAAATAGGGGGGAGTGCCCGCCTCATCTTAAGGGTGCCTCTTAAGGACCTCAGCGTTCTTATGAGTGGGGACTGAAGATGAGACAATGGCCAGTTGATATTTATTTATTTTTATTTTTTTTTGTTTTTGTGAGATATACCATTCAAGCTGCCGTGTGTGCGGTCCAGCACCGCATATACGTGAGGCTTATGGAAGTTTCGCTCAGGGGGTAGTTTACAATATGGGTTTTGGTGGAAAATGTGGCAGCCGCGCTTGGAGCCAGAACTTCAATCGTTGAAGTGCCACACTTGTTAACATAAAGAGGGGGATTAGTTGAGTTTGACTTTTGGACAGTGGACACACGGACCAACACTCCCACAATGACCTCGCCAAGGCAACACCAACACACACCAAAGCAAAACTATATAGATATATATACACCTATCTAACACAAAAAAAAAAAAGAGATTTTATACAAATTTTTAAATACAAAAATAAAAATAAATAATTCGAAAGTTTCGCCCCAAAAAAAACGAACAAAACCTGAATTTATTTGAATTTTTAATATTTCCTACTTTAGTTAAACACTTAAAGTTATATATTTTTATTTATAATTTTAGTCATCTATCCTTAATATTATTTTATTACTTTTCAATTTTCAATATTATTTTTATATTTTACATTTATCATTTTTACCTGAAATACATCTCTTTTTCGCATTTTTATATACTACATTTGCATACAAATCCCACGTCGAAGTTGAGTTGAATTTTATTTTTTTTTGCAATCCCTTTATGTTGTTAAGATTACTTTTTTGAAGTTTGAAGTTTTTTTTGAAACCCTTGAAGTTTTTTTATCGAGTTTTTGGTGATATTGTGTTTGCGTCACCGATTCGAGTATTTCGTGGAAGAAACTGAATTGGTTTGATAGCTAGGGTTATTTGAGTGAATGGACGAGCGTGAGAGTGAAGAAATAGTGCCAGGAGGATTAAGACTGCTGAACTCGAACCGTAGAGTCACACGAAGCGTAGCGAGAGCTCTAGAGAACCAAGTCGTTGGGTCTCTCTTCACCCAAATAGACACAGGCATTTCATATCCGGTGGACTTCGTGCCCACCGATTATTTTAACAGGTGCACGGCTAGGGTGTTTGCGACATTAAGACACGAGGAAAATTCGCAATCTTCGGTTAGAATAACTAACGAGGTAGCCATTAACTCGTCAAACAATACCCTTAGTTTCTCTCGAAAACTAGACGAGATTTTAGAAATGTCAGAGCAGGACGAGCTGAATATGCCACCTAGTGACGCTGCCGCGGGTAGTTCGAAGTCCGCAGGTGGAGGACCTAGGTCGTCTGAAGTCAATACTGAGCAGCTGAGCCGAATGATGGCTATGATGGCGCAAAACAGTGATATGTTAGCTCAATGTATGACTGAGGTCCACCACATGCGAGGCAACATGTCGAACATAAACGAACGTTTAGCTGGTGTGGAAGCTTCGACACACGCACAACCAACCAGGGCAGGCATGGCGTCAACACCAGAAAATCGAAGCGAGAGGCCAATAGACGTAGAACGGAGCCGAGATGAGGGCAGAGCTAGTGGACAAAGCAGTTCGAATGCGCTTAATGAGTCCAGAAATCTTAAGAAAATTGACCTAGATAAGTGGCATGTCAAGTTTGACGGATCTGCCAAGGGAATTACAGTCGAAAGTTTCATTTTTCGAATCGAAAAGTTGCGTGAACAATACGGTATTTCGCACTACCAATTGTTCACTTGTTTTCATTGTCTGGTTACCGGTAATGCCTTGAAGTGGTATTGGCAGATTCTTGAAGACAATGCTGATGACCCGAGCTTCGGCTATTTTGAACTTAAGTCTGAACTGCTAAACCACTTCAAGACAGCTGAATCAGACTATGAGATAATTAGGGAAATCATGGAAAGGAAGCAACAGGTTCAGGAGTCTTTCGAGGATTTCTACGGAGATGTTCACAGTCTGACATTCCGCCTTAGAAAAAAAATACCAGAGAAGGAGTTGGTAGGCATTATTAGGGGAAACCTTAAGCCGTACCTCGCGAATCTAACTTTTGCCTCAAAAATGGAGACGCTAGCGGATCTCAAAAGCGAGTGTAAGAGGGCTGAAAAGGTGATGCGCGATAACAAGAATAGACCAAAACAGGTTAATGAGATAGATTTTACGGAGCCTCCATGTTTAGAGAAGACAGAAGATAGGAGAGTAGAAGAAATAGGTAGAATGCAACGTAAAAAGCCACAGCAGTATGTGAGTGTTCAACCTAATGTGTCCCCGTCTAGTCGTCCTAATGTATCTTCGTCCTCCGTAGGTTCATTTTGTCCGTCCCCTTTCCACCTCATGTTATGTTTTACCTGTGGTATGCCCGTTGACCATTTTTCCAAAAATCCCACCGAAGCCCAAAAAGATAGTAAGTGTAATTCGTCCTTTCATAATATGATTTGTTTTTCTTGTGGAGGTGATACGTCTTATTGTGTGTTTAAACCAGTGCAGGGAAACTTAAAACTGGCCGAGATATCCGGGGACTCACGCCAGATGGAGGAGAACCCGGAAAACAAGTAGTCAGGGTCCTTAGTAGAAACACAATTACCAGTGAAAAGCATGATAAAGAACAGGAAAAAAGCGAAGAAGATAGGAGCATTATTAGGAAGAGTCTACACCAAAGGAAGATCGAATACGACGAGGCACGCAGGCGTATTTTTTGTGAGGGAATTATAGGGAAGAAGAGAAATAGGAACTTTGCTAAAATCCAGAAGATGAGGGCTAAGAAAAAGAATCTCAAGAGGATACATAATAAGATTATTTCCACTATTGTTACCATCAAGGGGGACAATAGATTTTTTGCGAAAACCAGAATAGGGGGACAGGAGGTTTTAGCGCTTTTAGACTCAGGAGCCGGGGCGAGTTGCTTAGGGAAAAACGCAAGTGTCATACTCGAAGGCAAGGAAGATAAGATAATGGCTATCAAGGGCCAACATATTAGAACAGCAAACGGTGGTGAAACTGCAGTGACAGGTGTAATAACGCTCAAAGTGGAATGGGATAATGTGGCGAAGGAGATGGAATTTTTGATTGTACCTGGCCTGCAGCAAGAAGTATATTTGGGTGTCGATTTTTGGCAAGTTTTTGATATGAATGTGGTTAGCAGAGGAGTGAATGTTTGTTCTGGCAGCACTGTCGTTGCAGATTTAGTGCCCGCCGAGGGTGACTTATCATTTGACGCGGTGCAACACACACTTACCCTGGATCAAAGTCTTGCTTTAGACAAAGCAAAAATGCAATTTCCTTCTTTCGCAGTCCTAGGGCTAGGGAAGACTGACGTTGAGGAGCATGTCATTGAAGTGACCAACGAAAACTTACCAGTGAAGCAAAGATTTTACCCTATATCGCCTGCAATCCAAAAGCTTGTTTACAGCGAACTAGACCGAATGCTGGAGATGGGAGTAATCGAGGAGAGCAACAGTAGCTGGAGCTCACCTGTATCGTTGGTCATCAAAGGGACGAAAAACCGCTTATGTCTTGACGCAAGAAAAGTGAACGAACGTACAGTGAAGGACGCGTACCCTCTACCACACATTGACGGGATCTTGAGCAGACTACAAAATACGCGATTTATATCGGCGATAGACCTCAAAGACGCCTTCTGGCAAATTCCGCTTGAAAAGAAGTCCAGAGAAAAGACGGCGTTCACTGTACCAGGTAGACCTTTGTACCATTTTACGGTGATGCCATTCGGTTTGTGCAATGCAGCACAACGAATGTGCAGGCTAATGGACAAGGTCATCCCCGCTTCTCTTCGTGACTCTGTGTTTGTTTACTTAGACGACTTACTTGTTTGTTCTGTTGATTTTTCGTCACATTTGTGTTTGCTCGAAAGGGTCGCTAAATGTCTGCGTGAGGCCAAACTAACTATAAATGTGGAAAAGAGTAAATTTTGTTTTAAAGAAGTTAGGTACCTAGGCTATGTGGTAGGAGATGGATGCATACGCACGGATACCAAAAAGATTGAAGCAGTGAGGGATTTCCCAGAGCCAAAGACCCCCAAACAGCTCAGAAGGTTCCTAGGGATGTCAGGGTGGTACCGGAGGTTCATACGAGATTACGCCACAATTGCAGCTCCGCTGCACGACTGTCTCACGAAGGAAAAGATTAAGAAGTTTACAATGACAGACGACGCAAAGACTGCTTTTGAGCGCTTAAAGCAAAGCCTGATTTCAGCGCCAGTGTTGACCCACCCGGACTTTAACAAACGTTTTTACATACAGTGCGACGCATCGACTGACGGGGTGGGGGGTGTGCTTTTCCAACTAGACGAGGACGGTAACGAACGACCGATTGCGTATATCTCCGCAAAGTTAAACAAAGCTCAGCGCAATTACAGCATTACGGAGTTAGAATGCTACGCAGCAGTTTTGAGCATAAAACGATTCAGGCCTTATGTGGAGGGCTTGCCCTTCACAGTGATCACTGATCACGCAAGCCTAAAATGGCTAATGCATCAAAAGGACCTCTCAGGGCGACTAGCGAGATGGAGCCTTAAACTGCAGGCGTTTGATTTTGATATTCAACATCGCAAAGGGACTCAAAACATAGTTCCTGATGCGCTGTCTAGAGTAGGCATGGATGAAATGACGATAAGCGACAGAATGATGGATATTTGTTTAAACTCGCCATTTTTCAAAACGAAAGAATATGAGGAATTAAAGAAAACTATAACTGACAACAGCGGTAAATTGCCTGAGTTTTGTATATCGGACGGATTCGTTTATAAAAAGACCCAGTTCAGTCGGGGGGACAGGCTTCAAGAGGACCACGCCTGGAAACTCTGGGTGCCAACTGAGCTGCGGCAGGGTCTGGTGGAATCCTCACATGACTCGCCTTCCGCAGGGCATGGCGGAATTCATAAAACGTTAGCTAGAATAAGGGAAAAATATTATTGGCCAGGTATGGTCGCTGAAGTTCAAAAATACATAGCAAGCTGTGATATTTGTAAGGGCAATAAAACTCAGAACTCTTTTCATAAGCCTCCGATGGGCAGACAACACGTGACAGAGCGACCTTTTCAGCGTTTGTTCATTGATTTCATGGGTCCCTATCCTCGTACGTCCAATGGTAATGTGTATGTGTTTGTATGTCTCGACCACTTCTCCAAGTTCGTGTTCCTCAAACCTATGAGAAAGGCTACGTCAGCAGAAGTTGTTAAATTCCTTGAAAAAGAAGTTTTCCATGTATTCGGGGTACCCGAATACATTCATTCCGACAACGGAAAGCAATTCGTATCAGAGACCTTCAAAACCTTTGCTGAAAGATATGGTACAAAACATGTGAAAACGGCGTTTTATTCGCCACAGGCGAATGCTGCCGAAAGGGTAAATCGGTCTGTCCTTCAGATCATTAGATCGTATATAAAGGACAATCAGAAAAATTGGGACAACCATGTTAGTGACGCCGCTTTCGCCCTTCGTAGTGTGGTTCATTCAGCAATTGGTACTTCGCCATATTCCGCCCTCTTTGGTATACCAATGATACAGCATGCTGCATCGTATGAGTTATATCGGAAGCTGGGCGCACTTAGGGACTCTGATAGCGAAATCACCACGGGAAAAGACAACATCCAATTGATTAGGAAAAAAATTATGAAAGAGCTGAAGCTAGCCCACGAACGCAACGAAAAGGTTTATAACACGCGAAGTAAAGAAGTGAGATTCCAAACTGGACAAGTGGTATACCGCCGCAATTTTAAACAGAGTTCACAAATCGAGAACTATAATGCCAAACTAGGCCCAAAACAGGTCAAATGCATTATTTTAAAGGCGATAGGAAACTCGATGTATGAACTCGGTGATATCAGGGGAAAGAAGATCGGGGTATACCATGCTAAGGACATTTTTGCTGTGTAGATATTTGTTAAATGTTGTCCTTGTGCTAAGTGTTGCATGTCTTTTGACTTAGTTTTACTGACTTGACTACTTACGCATACCTGACCTTATTTATTTATCTTTATTATTATTATTATAATTATTTTTAAATTTATTTATTTATTTTTTATTTATTTATTTTACTACTTGACTATATAAATACTGTGATAGTTTCCTTATTTATGTATTTTTATTATTTATTAGGGTAATTATTTTTAAATTTATTTAATTTTATTTAATTTATTTTTATTTTACTACTTGACTACATAAATTCTGTGATATTTTGTTTATTTATTTTTACTATTTATTTTTGTAATTATTGATTTACTTATTTTTTTATTTTTTTTACTTAACTATCTATATACTTTATCCTACTGTGTTAGTTTAATTTATTTTATTCTATTTCCATCAGTGATAGTGATGTAGTAGTAGACCTGTGATACTGACCTTAACAGCAAACTCAACCGACGAGCAACAGGAAAGAAGCCCGGCTTTAAGTCGTGGGTCGAGGCCACACGTCAGGCGGAAACATGGCCTTGCAACCAGCCGCGTTAGTTATCCTTTTACGCACACGCTCCATGGTGCAGGCACCATCGGCGGGTCCGAGCCTGTAGCGCCAGCTGCTTGCCAGATACTTTGATGTTAAATTGTGTGCGTGTGTGCGTACGAACTCGATCAAACCTACATGTCTGTAAGCCGATCAAACCTCTATGTAAAACACATGCATGATGCCCAAAAGAAAGTAACTACGTTAGAGTGAGAAAGTTCGCTAGACTTATGGTTCGGTGAAGCAGTCTTGAGTGTGTGTGTATATGTGTGAATGTTCGACTTAAACCGTATTTTGTATGTATTCCTTTGTACATAAATAAGTAAATATATACATAACTAATACGGGATCGGTCACTTGACGTAGAAAGATATAAAAGGACCAAAACTGAGACAAGCGGTTCTTAAAACGAAAGTTGCGGTGGTACTTTACAGTGAAAGTGAAGTGTAATTTTAAAGTGGTTGCTTGTGGTATAAGTAATAAAGTTTAAAGTTTTATAGTTAAAGTGAGTGAATACGGTCCCCCAGTGCTCTACCAGGATACTAGCGGTACCTGGGGTCATCAAAGTCACATTCTGGATCTGGAGGTAAGTGCGAACATTTTCATTTGACACCTTTGATACGCATATGTCCAAGTACCTAGATGAGTGAGACTCAAATGTAGCAAAAGAGTACGCGAGATTAAAATCTTAAATATATCAAAGAGGGCTAATGGAAGTTTTTATTGATTTCAGGTCGCCTGCTAACACAGCGAAAGGACCTCCATTGTTTTACAACAACACGGTAGTTTAAACCCGAAAAATCAGCCCAAGCATTCAGGAAGAAAACTTTGGAGTAGCAGCCAAGTAAAAATACATACATACGCCCATATATGCGTAAACGCTACCACCCACGGACCACAACCACCCGCACCGGCAAATAAAGCATACCAACAAGGGCCGGGCATCAGCGCAAGTGTACAAACGCACTCAGGCATATACATATGTGCATACGTTCATGCAAGATACGAAACCACCTTAACTGTCACCAGGCGACTCGACAAGGTGGCCCATATCTAAGCCCTACAGCAGTGCCGATAACCCGGCTAATAATTAGAGCCAGCAGCAACAACATCACCAGGAACAGCTGATTGAAATATCTCGGCCGGAGTAGGTCAACGGCCATTCGACATACATGTGGATTCCATCAAACAGTGGAGAGGAGCATAACAGTGGAGAGGACCATAACATCGACGGCAGCAGTGTGCGAGAGAGCAGTGGAGACTATCGCTCCACATATACCGTCGATCAACAGCAGCGCCGGGAGCATAGTTCCAGTTCTACTTGGATTTTACATTCCATTTTGGTTAAATTTTTA